GGAGGTTGGTATAATTATCTCCATTTTACAGATGGGAAAACTGAGGCACAGAGCAGGTCTCAGCCCTCCTTCATGCTAGCTGTCTCAGCAAAGAAGCCAAAAATTTGGGCTGAGATTTTTCATAGGAGCCTAAGGGGCTTAGGCACCCAAATCCCATTGAAACTCGGTGGCAATTGGGCGTCTAAGTCATTTAGCCACTCTGGGTCTCCACTGCCTATCTGTACACTGAGGATAATAGCATGGATCTACCTCACAGGAGAGTTGTAAGAATTAAAGATAGTGAGGTGCTACAGTAATGAGGATCATATTAGGTCACTAGTTTAGACAGATGTGCGTGGAGTTAGACAGATTAGGGCTGTGTATGCAGTGCAGAAGTTTGCACTGCTGATGACTGGGACGTAGCAGTTTTGTTGCTAGCTACATCCTCAGGGATTTCACTCCAGCACCTCCCACAGAGCTACATGCATTTTAAAATGCAACAAACTCCATCTGTTGAAGAAAGTGGAGGGCAGGAAAGGAAAAGCAGGTACCTTAATGAAAGTTATTCCCACCACGAGACCCCTCTTCGGCGGCGACTTGCTGAAAGTGTCAATCGAGACAATCTCAGCATCAACTGCCAAGAAACAATAAATCATTTACACAACTGGTTACTATTATTTGTGCCAGGGAACAGGTCCCCATGGTGCTAGTGTTGTACAAGCACAGACTAAAATAACAGTCCCTGCCTTGCAGAGTTTACGATCTTAGATTAACAGTTTAGATTTTTGCCAAAGGTCACAAAGTTTAATGCAATAATAATAAACTTTGCACCATACTTGACTCCTGTTTGCAGGCCTTATACAAACAAAGAGTGTTTTTCCATAACCTCTCACATGCCTTTAAAAACAATGGCTACATTGCACCAGAGGGAGGATCTCAAAGCACTTTAAAAAGATCAGTCCCATTATCCTCATTCCAGAGAGAGCGTGAAACTGAGACACAGGCCAAAGGCCACACAAAGAATCAGCCGGACGGCTGGGAACAGAACCCAGGAGTCCCCAGTCTTCTCCCCAAACCCAGGAGTCCTTATTCCCAGCCCCCTGCCCTAACCATGACTCCCAGTTCCTCCCCCCGCCCCCAATCTGACCTCTCTCACCAAGGAAATGAAGTGAAAATGTCCTTGTCCCCCACCCTGGTTGGACTTCCCCCAACCTGAGTGTGCTCCCTAACCCCTCTCCCCAGGAACGGAGGTGAACTGAAACGCCCCCAACCCCAGAATGACCCCCTGACCCC